AAGGCTCAAATTCAATCCTAAATTGACTGTTATCATTTCTCAAGTACAAACCACCGTCTTACCACATATCGTGTAATGTTATTCTCAGAAGAAGTTTCCAATTCACACAATCAATGAACACTTATTACCTTTTTAATATGTGATAACTCTCAATCCTCACCAATTCTCTCTAAAGAAGGCTCTAGCAGGAGATTCCTCGAGCTACTTGTGTTAAACCACTATCTTACCACAAGGCTTGTGTGCACAAAATGAAATATAGCAAGTGTCCTGATATCCAGATTCTCATAAACACAACCAACTCCTAGTGGCATATTTTGTCACTCAAGCACATAGGCATAGACATGCAGCAACTCAGAAGTCCAGGCAAAAATGTAAACTTTTTCACAATTCCATGATCACACAATTTATCATGCAATGCAATTCACAAACAAAATGTATCCTCCCCCAACTAAAAGTTACATTGTCCTCAATGCATAAACATGTCTCCAAAAATAAAGAAGGGGAAAGGTATCACCTGAATACTGCAGTGAATTAACTTAAGTTCGAAGGATGAGAAGCTTGAAAGAACTCAATGGATGGATAATGCAAGGAGTAAAAAATAAACAAAAAAAAAAATGAATGCAAATCACACTAAAAAGAAAAATCTAAAACTAATATACAGAAAAATAAAGTAAAGGATGAACCTAAGTGAAGCTAAGGGTGGTAAACAGGGTCTGCAAGGGGAATTTCTTCCACTGCAGGCACCGATTGCCCAAAAGCTATTTTGAGACGCTGTCCATTCACTTTGAACACTCTACCATCATTAGGATCCTCAATTTCAACCGCTCCATTTTCAAAGACTCGTAATACCACAAAGGGGCCAGTCTACCTAGAACGAAGTTTTCCAAGATGCTTGTGGAGTCTAGAATCATACAGGTATACTTTTTGATTTGGTTCAAAAGTTTTTCTCAAAATGTTTTTATCATGAAAAGCTTTCATTTTTTCCTTGTAGATTCTAGAACTCTCATAGGCCTCATTTCTCAACTCCTCTAACTCAGTCAATTGAAATTTCCTAAGCTTACCTCCCTCCTCTAGGTCGAAATTAAAATGTTTAATAGCCCAATATGCTCGATGTTCAAGCTCCACAGGTAAATGGCAAGGCTTTCCAAAAATAAGTCTATATGGTGACATGCCTAGGGAAGTCTTAAAAGCAGTACGGTAAGCCCAAAGTGCATCACTTAATCTTAAAGACTAATCTTTACGATTAGGATTCACCATTTTTTCCAAAATTTGTTTAATTTCACTATTAGCCAATTCTACCTGTCCACTAGTTTGGGGGTGGTAAGCAGTAGAGATTTTATGAATAACTCCATATATTTTCATCCGTGCTTCAAATGAACGGTTGCAAAAGTGTGTGCCTCTATCACTTATAATGACACGTGGTGTACCAAACCTAGACAAGACATTTTCTTTGAGGAATTTAATAACCGTTTTATTGTCATTAGCTCTACAAGCGACTGTCTCTACCCATTTAGACACATAATCCACCGCCACAATAATGTATAGATAACCAAAAGAAGGTGGAAAGGGGCCCATAAAGTCAATCCCCCAACAATCAAACACTTCTATCACTAAAATGGGGTTTAAAGGCATCATTTTACGTCGAGACACGGCACCTAATTTTTGACATCTTTCACAGGTTCTACAATAGGTATTAGTGTCTTTGAACAAGGTAGGCCAATAAAAACCACATTGTAGAATTTTTGCAGCAGTCTTTTTTATAGAGAAGTGGCGACCACATGCTTGAGTATGACAGAAACTAAGTATGCTAGGTATTTCTTCATTGGGAACACAACGTCTTAAGATTTGGTCAAGGCTGTACTTAAACAGACATGGGTCATCCCAATAAAAATTACGTACCTGAACCAAAAACTTCCTGTTATCCTTTGTACTCCACTCCTTTGGGATTTCACCTGCAATCAAGTAGTTCACAATGTGAGCAAACCATGGTAAAGAAGAGACAAAAAATAAATTTTCATCTGGGAATTCATCTCTTATTGGCAAGGTGTTTGTATTGTCTTCAAAGGTTAGCCTTGATAAGTGGTCTGCTATAACATTCTCCACTCCTTTCTTGTCCTTGATGGTGA